CTTGTCTCCCGTACGTTAGCTGCTGCTAAAGGATTTGAAGAGAGCCCCTGGCTGGCTGTTGAGCATGTGATGTCTTGTTCTGAACGCATCTCTCTCTCTCTGTCTGTGCAAAAGGTTTGATGTTCCACCTCGTCTCAGCCTGTCGGATCATTTTATTATTAATAATAATAATAATATTGCATTTCATATAGCGTCTTATCTCATCTTGAGACACCTCAAAGTGCTTCACAGAATTTTATTGTAAAGTGGATTGACTGTGTATTTGTAGGCAAAACTCAGCAGCCGGGTGGGCACAGCAGTGTCCCACAAAAAGACGTGGATTGAGTGACCACAATTTTTTTTGGGAGATATTATTCCTCCTGGAAAGCGATCAACCAATCGACTAACAACCAGGTTCCTACTTACTGCTAGGTGAACAGAGGTGTAAGGAAACTTGCCTAAGGTTTTGCCCTGCTGGGGAATCAAAACCGGGTCCTCTTGCGAGTGTCCAGCCACTACACTACAGGATTCCACACAAGGCTGTGGATACTGGATCGATCAAATTTTCAAGACTGAGGGGATAGATTTTTCTTAGGTGAGGGTATCTATGGAGCAAAGGTGGGTAAATTAAGTTGAGGTACGGCTCGAGGGGCAGAATAGCCTACTTCTGATCCTATGCTCCGATGTGTTCCTGCCATTCTGAAACCCAGGCTACCAAATTGTGGTTGGATTTTCACACACTTAAGACGATCCTAAATTACAAGACAAAATGATCTGACAAGGCTCGAGACTGGGGTGGGGGGGGAGAGCGGGCAGTGAACCTGATGGAAGGGGAGGCAATTCGGGGCGTGCCAGCTCCCAGTACCAGCGTTTAAACGAGGGCTTCCCGCTGCCAGGAGCCAGCATGTTCCGAGATGGGAATCCTGAGTAAATGTAAGGGTCGTGTATTTGGCGCTGTGTGATGCTCTTATTTCCAAGATATCACTGGGGGATTTTGGCATCCAGCGTCTTGCATTCAAAGAAGCCATTGTGCGAGTCTATTTTCCACATCCTCCACAGTGACATTATTTCCAATGACCTTTTGCACTTGTTACAAGGACCCAGAGACAGAATGGCATCACTTGGACTAGAGTCCTTGCAGCCTCACAGAAAGGCTGATTGTGGCAAGCTTGGCTTCACACAACGCTGTGGGCCGGGTGTGTAATGCCTTCTATTGCAAAGACGTGAAACTTATTTTCCGCTCCAGGCTTTTTAAATGCTGTGCGAGGCTCTCCTGCTTTCAATACCATCAGTTGTGTTACAAGGCTTCATTGTTGTGCTGTTAAATCATTGAGTTTTGAGAGGGAGGGGTGGGGGGGGGGGGAGGGGGAAGCTCCTCAAAAGAAGACATCTCAGAGCTTGTTTCTGACCTTCTAGAGAAGAGAAAAGCATGTAATAATTCACAACATCTTTTATTCCTAAATACAATATAGATGAGCTGCAGTTGTCTTGGCAACAAGTAAGGATCGTTTGTAAAATTGCGCACTGTTAATCCTGAGTTTGTGTTTCCTTTATAACTGTATTTTGGTCAGCCAGATGCTTGTCATACTGCTCAAGGTCTACGTACCAAACTACCTAAGCATGGAAATTTCCCTGTATCTGGAACGGAATGCACACTCTTCCCCTGGAGGCATGCCCCTTGCTTACTTAACCCTGGAAAGTATTAGGCTGAGGACCCCAGAGTGTGCGTTAGGGGGTAACTGCTGGAGTCTAATCAGCTAAAAACAAACAGCTCGCCATTGAGAGCAAGCTTTCTTGCTGCTTGTCCCTTAGGGCTTTGGTTTTCAGGGTTAACAGGAGCTGAGTGGGAAGAGTCCTTGCCTCTAGACTGTCAATGAGGTGTCAGGATGCAGGACAGTAGAGGGTGCAAAAAGCAGGAGAGGGATGTCATGTTTCTCCCAAACCACAAATTGCTGCTTTGGAAAATGTTGCAAACCGAAACCACTGAAGGAAAGGTCTTGATCAGATTCCGTAGGAGAGCTCAGTGAAACCCCAGCTTCAGCTGAGCCTGCTCTCAGGCCCTCTCCAGTCAATAACCCCCGTCAAAACCTGACAATATTACATTTCGTGGAGTCCTGCAGCATATTGGTTAGTTCTCTCGTCTCGCAAGTGAGAGGAACCTGGGTTCGATTCCTGGGTGGAGTGAAACCTTAGGCAAGTTTCCTTACTTCATACACAACTCTGTTTACCTAGCAGCAAGAAGGATCCCGATTGTTAGTCGATTGGCAGATTGCTTTCCGGGAGAAATAAACCCTTCAAAAACAAAATCGTCCAATAATTTGTTCACTCAATCCACAATTGTTTGCGGGATACTGGCTGCCGTGTTTCACCCACGAAATGTACAGTCAGTTCACTTCACAATATATTCTGCAAAGCGCTTTGAGACGTCTCAATGACATGATAAGGCACTAAATCAAATTCAATGATTATTATTTCTATTTTATTCACATCCTACCCACTCACCAGCTCCCTTCCACCAACTCAGCCCAGCTCCTTAAAAGGACCGGCAGAGACACACAAGAAGAGACCACCTACACAAACAGGTAGAGATATATGCACACATCCTGGCTAACAATCCCCCCAAATAAAATTGGTCACTCACTCCATAGCTGTTTGTGGAATACTTCACTAGTAAATCCTGTGAAACACTTAGAGACGTCTCAACGATGTGATAAGGCGCTATATCAAATGCAAGGATTATTATATAATAATTAAATAATTAAAAAATAATATACACTTAAGTTGGAGACTGAGAGACACGCGCGCACACACATTTTCCACTATAAATAAATAAAATGGGGGAGCGTGCTCTGTGTGTGATTTCAGGATCAGAAATAGCCCATTGTATACAACACGATACCGGGCAATATTAAGGAAAAGCTTGTTTTTTTTTGGTTGATGTGAAGGATTAGGGCAATGGTTTAATCTGGGCGCTTGCAGTTTGTTCCATCCAGCCCGCTTCAGGCTGTCCTTTTCCATACACAAGCCTCTCATTTATAGATGGTCGGGTTTTCAATGGATCAAACGATTCAAGATACTTAGCTAAGGAAAAGAGGATTTAGTGACAGAAGCGATTAGACTTCCAGCCTGATTTAGATGTTAGTAAATGAATGCTCCAATGGGCTTTAAAGGAGGTGGATTTTGCTGTGTGGACAGCTTTCTTCAAACTGACGGGATTGAATAAACAGAAAGCTAAATATATTGTGATTATCTTCAGTCCTCATCTAAGTCTTTTCATTCAAAATTTCATTTGTGCCTTTTAAAGGTTTAGATTCTTTCAAATGTCGAATTTGGGAGTGAGTGGAGGAGGGGGAGTGAGGGATGAGGCCAGAGGAGTGAGATGGGCCTTGAAGGAGGCAAGGGAAGGGGCGAGTTGAAGGGGCTTTGGGATGGAGTTTCAGAGGGTGAAGCGCGCAGGGTGGGGGGCGTGGAGCGGGCCAATACCTACAGAGCGAAGGGAGCGGACAAGTTGGTGATGTTTTAAAAGGTCGCAGAGATAAAGTGCTCAGTGGCTGACATGTCTCCTCTCCCTCTCCCCTATGTGCCATCTACCGTAGGTGAACACTGACTGCAGATCATGGTGGCATTACTGTTGAGGTGGCTGAAATGAACTTTAAATCATCCTTTCCGCTGGTGGCTTTGATGTTGCTTGCAATTGGTTAAACGTCTCATCCGAAGGACGGCACCTCTGACAGCACTGCATTGGAGTGTCATCTTAGACTATGTGATTCCAAGTCCCAACGTGATAAGGTGCTACATCAAATGCAAAGAATATTATTATTATTATTATTCAGCAGGGAACTGAGGATCATGGAATAAAGGGGTCCTTTTCGAAGTGTTTAAAGCTTTGTGTGAGGTGGCAGAGCTAGCAGGTTATCAGATGAATGAGTGACCACACGTTGGTGAAGCGAATGGCAGATTGCCTTGAGAGAGGTATGTTTCAAAGAGAAAGGCACAGAGGTTGAGCATGCAGTCTACTGAGAGGATGCAAGCCCTGAGGAAGGAAACCATGTAGGAATGCCATCGTTTGTATTTTTACAAGGTTTCCCTTGAGCGATATTCCTGATTCCTAAACATAGACAACATTGAGCGTTGTTCATCACCATAAATAACTTATGAAACATTTACATTCACCACAGCAACAATTATAATAATCTTTGCATTTGATATAAAGGCTTATCATGTCAATGAGAAGTCTCAAAAGCACTTCACAGAATATCCTGTAAAGTGTAGTAAACAAAAGGCAAAATACTGGAGATGCTGGAAATCTGAAATAAAAACAGAAGTCGCTGGGAACACTCCCAACGCTGAGTCTTCCCAACGACTTATGATTTTATTTCTGTAAAGTGTAGTGACTGACGGTGACTATAAACCGGATCTTGGTGGGGAAACTCTCTCTCAGTTTGAACAACAACACATTGCATTTATATAGCGCCATTGAACCTGATCTTGTGAAGCTCTGGGCTAATTCGGGAGGGGAGCGGAGTGGGGGGGGCAGAAAGAGTGAAATTGCACTGCAGAGATGGGTGTATAAAAAAAGCACAGGGCTGTTTATGTACACAAAGTACATGGGAGTTTAATGATTGACTAGGGTTTAAATTGGGGCTAAACGCTGGTCTCAGATGGCTACGATCTGGCGACAGTGTTAATGAGTGATTTAATTGAAAGTGCCAGCAGTGAGGGTGTGAATCGACCCAATGGTTTTCGTCAAGAGTCGTTGTTCTGTCCACTCGAAAGAGGAAGGTGGAGAGGAGTTTGGAGTTTGTGGATCTGATTTTCTCCATAGACGCCCATGACCCTTGAGCTATTGCACAAATCGGTGTTGTTTGTGGTGTTTTTTTTATGGAGCTGTTGTATTCTGATCCCTGCCGCAGGGCGGGTTGCTCAATTCCCCTCATCCAATCGCCTGCGCTCTCGCCGAGGTCAGTGTGTGTGTGTGTGTGTGTGTACACTGCCCACACTCATTGCTGATCGACGCTGACGGATCCCAAAGCGCTGGCCTCCCGTCTTCCGGCCTGTCCTGAGCAGCTGAGCGCTGTAAATGGCAGGGTCGGGCCCGTAAAACTTGGCAGGCAGCAATGGATGACTTCTGGGCCCTGCGTCCCACGTATGGTAGGAGCTCTCTCAGTAACTTGTATCTTTTCAGGCTGGACTAGCTATGGCCTCCTGCTTGTCCCATCATGTCCTCCGCTCCACCATCGGTAGCCGCGTTTTCAGCCACTGCTTCCCGAAACTCTGGAACACCCTTCCTCAATCCCTCCACCTTGTGCCCTCCTTCCCCATCTTCAGGTCGAACCCGAAGACTTTCTTCTTCGACTGTGACTACGGTCACCTGCCCCCTTCCCCCAGCTCAACGACGTGGTCTGCCACTGTCAAGTGCTCTGGGACGCTGCCCTGTGTGAGGGGCACTGAATGAACGCAAGTTGTTGTGGTTGGTGGTGGCTGATGTGAGTGGATTTTCTTGGTGCTTCAGTGTTCTGACTGGGCACTAACATCCTGCAGGGAAACATATTCTCAACCGGGCAGCGAGATGGTCAGCACCTCTGACTCTCTCTGTTGAACCCCCAATGAACAAGTGGAAAGGGAGGCTTGCTCTTGTTTATTGAAAACTGATGGATTGTTTATTGATGTGATAGTGACTATCCTCCTTGGGAGGTGGGGGAGTGGAGGTAAGTATAGTCTCAGTGGAGCTGAACTGGCTCCAAGATGACATGTTTGTCAACGAAATATCGTAATTGAGCCAGCCTTCTGTGACTGTCTCTAGTCCTATTCCTGAGTCAGGCAGTTACGCAGTGCTCCAGGTCACTGCTGATGACAGCACTGTCAGCCCGGCTCATTGGCAGCACTTAGAAGGGCAGACCAGTTACTCGGAGCAGGGAATCCTCCCACTCAGCTCCTGTTAACCCTGCAAACCAAAGCTAGAACAGGTAGGGTGGTCCTAGCTGGACAAGCAGCAGGAAAGTTTGCTTGCCAATGTTAGCAATGGCAAGCTATGCTGTTTTAGCTGGTTAGACTCCAGCAGTTACTCCAAAGTACACACTGGGGTCCCCAATCGTTGGTTCTTTCCATTCTGTGATTAATACTTTCCGGGATTAGGTAACCAAGATGCGACCCTCCAGGGAGACAGTGTGCATTCCATTCCAACAATCTCTCTCTGGAATTTCCATGTGTAGGTGAAATTTTTTTTGATACGTAGTTAACCCTAACCCTGGGCACTCCTCTTAATATCTCAATCGCAGACTATCCAACTTCAAAGTGATAAATTAGTGCCCTCTCTGGACAGACCCCTATCCTCTCCTGGATAGCTCCCTCGCCATGACTGAAAAAACCTTTTGTTTTTTTGCTGGTTAGCGTTACACCAAGCAGCAAATGGCGATGCATTGGGATGTGAGAGTGTGGTGTGCATAGGTGTGGAATCCCGTGTAGATTATGTACACGTTGTGTCCATACAAGGATTGTGGCGTTCAGTAGCGTAGTGGTTAGTGCACTCTCCTCATAAGTGAGAGGACCTGGGTTCAATTTTTGGGCGGGGCGAAACATTACCATTAAGTTTCCTTACTCCACACACCTCTGTGTACCTAGCAGTAATTGGTTGTTATTCGATTGGTGGATCACTTTATGGAGGTAATAATCCCTCCCCCCACCCGATAAATTATCACTTAATCGACAACTGTTTGTGGGACACTGCTGTGAACAATTGGCTACCGCGTTTTGCCCATGAAATACACTCAGTTCACTTTACAGATATGCTTTGAGATGTATGAGCGATGTGATAAGACACTATATCAAATGCAAGACTTATTATGTGTGTGGTGTGGAATGAGGTGTGTTTGCAGGGAGCTGGGCTCCCAGTGAAACCAAACACAAGGGTGTGTGTGAATGAATGGCTCAACTCATCCCATACCCTCCAACAAATTTCCACTTTAGAGGAGTTGAGGAGGTAAACACAGCCAAGCGCATTCATTAAAAAATGTCTCACAATCTCTCCTCCCTTCCCCCAAAACCACCACCACCACTCTCCTTATCTAGTGATATATAGGGCTTTCGTCCCACTCCCTCAGGATCCCATGGCACTAATCAACAACAAGGAAATTGCATTATACGTATTTATATATTGCACAGAAAAGCTGAACGACTGCCGATGGTGAGGCAGGGACATAAAGCAGGCCATGAGCCCCCAAGCAAAATTGTTCGTTGACTTCATATCTGTTTGTCGGTTTCTCTGCACATATTGGATGCTGCGTTCTCCTACAAATACACACACACTACAGTTCACAGTGAATCCTGTAACATTGCTATGTACAGATTGAATGCCACATACGTTCGCCTACAAAATTCAGTCACTGTACTTGACAGTAGTTAATGTGAAGTGCAAGGGGATAGTTTGACACCGGATCAAATACAAGGATTATTGGAACTTGGATGGATGTGGGGCGAGATAGTTAGTGGTCTGGGTCACCTCTGGCCTGGAACCTGTCCCTCCCCCCCCCCCCCCCCACCACTGCCTCTCCCTCGTACAGAACAGTGGCTGCCAGAGAGAATGAGCTAAAGATACCTTTGGCTGTGTAGTTTGGCGGCCCCTCATGTCGGGCAGGCTAGAGGAGGCTTTGGCAGCCACCGAAGGTTGGTCATGGCTGCGTAAACTCGAGCATCGCAAAACTGTGTTAACAGAGAGACACCCCATATAGTAACAGTAATAATCCTTCCATTTATTACAGCACCTATTACATTAGGAGGACGTCTCAAAGTGCTTCACTGTAACATGCAGTGTCTGTGTATGTTGTTGGCAAATTCAAACCAGCCAATTTGCACATAAACAGCCATTAAGCAAACAACCGGTTTCATTTTAAATGAAACAGTAAGTAAGATTCCAAATGGGATTTCAAGTAACATGGGTTACTTGGAATACTGCTTGACTTTTTATTGAGCACCTTCACCTACAAATTACCCGGTCACTACGCTTTATGGTGAATCCTGTGAAGCGCTTTGAGACGTCGATGAGGCAGGTGCATTACCAAATGCCAAGCAAAGTACAAGTCCCGTGGAGTTCTATAGCACAGTGGTTAGAGCACACACCTCGTAAGCGAGAGGACTTAGTTTCAATTCCTGGCCAGGACAAAACCTTAAGCAAGTTTTCTTACTCCACGCGCCTCTGTTTACCTAGCAGTAAGTAGGAAACCGGTTGTTAGTCGATTGGCCAATCGCTTTCTGGGGAGTAATAAGATCTTAAAAAAAATTGGTCTTTCAATCCACCACTGTTTGTGGGACACTGTTGTGCGCAATTGGCTGCTGACTTTCGGCCACAAGATACACAGTAAATTCACTTTACAATATATTCTGTGAAGCTCTTTGAGCTATCTCAATGACATGATAAGGTACTTTAGCAAATGCAAAGCTTATTATTATTACAAGTAATAATAACTAGTTACCAGTATAAATAATAATTACTTATTATTATCATTCTCCTCTGGGTTAGAAAGTGAGAGAGAGATCTCCAGTATGGTTGTTCTGGAATCAGTTTTCTTTGTAAATTGGAAGAATTTGCCTTTTGGCTGGCCTGTGGCTTTGGAATGCTTGAAACTATGAAGAGGCCTTCAACAGTTGAACCTGCAGAGCTCTGCCTTGGCTGTTCATCTTATAATCTTTGCAAACTGCTTTTATCAGGGCCCTGGAATGCATCGAATATAGGAACATAGGAACCGAAGGAGGCCATTCAGCTGCTCAAGCCTGCTCCGCCACTCTTTTAGATCACGGCCGATCTGTAACTCAATTCATTTACCCGCCTTTATTCCTTGATACCCTTACCTAACGGACATCCATCGACCTCAGATCTTGAGTCGCTTTGTCTGACATCTGCCAACCTGGCGCGATGGTAGCTCTCTTGCCTCTGAGTCAGAACGATGTGGGTTCAAGCCCCATGTCAGAACCTGGAATCACAGTCTTAATTCAGGATTGGGGGAGGGGGTTTGTTGCATTGTCGGAGATGTCATCCTTCAGATGAGACGTTAAACCGAGGTCCCGTCTACCTGTTCAGGTGGATGTTAAAGATCCCATGGCACTATTGAAAAAGAGTTTCTCTCTCCCGCTGACCTGACCAACAATGCCTCAGGTAAAATTAGGCACTCACTCCACAGCTGTTCGTAGGACATTGCTGTGTGCAACTGGCTGCCACATATCCCGACAAATATACAGTCACTAGCGCTTTAAGACATCCTTCTGACATGATAAGGCTCTTTATTAAATTATTATTTGCCTGTGCTTTCCATCTCTTCCCTCCTTCCCCCATCTCCTGCTCTGCTCAGTCCCTACTCCATCTGGCAGTGCATTCCAGATCGTAACAACTCTCTGGGTAAAAATATTTCTCCTTGTCTCCCCTCTGGTTCTTTTGCCAATTATCTTAAACCTATATCCTCTGATATCGACCTACCCGCCAGAGGAAACAGTCTCTCAATATCTATTCTGTCAATTATAAGATTTGTAAATAGTGAATCTCGAATTTATCATAGATGATCCTCTAAACTCAGCATCGGGCTCCGCCACTGTTAAGCGCTCCGAGACGCCATCCAGCGTGAAGGGCTGTATATAAATGCAAGCAGTTGTAGTTGTTGTTGTTGTGGGAAACTTGTTGAGATGCTTTGTCCCGCGTGTGCTATATGTATGTGTGTACTGTGTACTGCATTGCGTGTAATTCTCCGCACTGTTTTCCTGTGACAATCATCAAACAAAAGCGTCACCAAAAAATCAATTTGGAAACAAATCAAAGTCAATGATTTTGAAAGGACTGATTACACAACACTGGCTCAGGAGCAGCTCATCAGGAAATGAAGTTTCCTATGTTATTGGTCAATTTTAATTTCACCACTGTTTCACTGTGCACACTCATCAGCTCTGAATTAGATTCAGGCCTGCAGCTCACTCCCAGGATCAATTATTCTATATATAACCCCTCCCCCAACCCCCTGATTATAATAATAATAATCCTTACATTTGGTATGGCACCTTATCATGTCTTAGAGACGTCTCAAATCGCTTCGCAGTATATACTGTGAATAGACTGCATTTTGTGGGCGAAACGCGGCAGCCAATTGCGCACAGCAGTGTCCCCCAAATGA